TTAACCTCTAAATCAATAGAAAAGCTGCATAGGTTGTGCAATCCCTATTTTTCTGTGACACTGGAATTACATGCTAGATGTCAGATGGATCACATCCTGGAAGATAGATGGAGGCAGCAAAAAATGACTGTTGTAAAACAGTCAGGATATGAAGATGTCTCCTTGATCTGGAGAGAATTTTCAGCAATCTGTATCCAGCATCCCGATGTCTTTTCACCTATAGTGCCTCCCACTAATCCACAGAACCCCAGTTTGCCATTCCTCCCCAGAAACCTCTCCTCAAATTCTTGTTTCTAAGGAAGCAAAAAGTAGGAAGAAGCGGCAAAAAAATATAAAATTCTGATGATCCAAATCCGCTTGTACAGTGTCTGGAATCAAAGTACATAAAGTCCTATATTCTGCTTCTTTTGAAAATCTTTAGAAATTGAAGTCTGCAAGAATAGAAATATTCAAAGTTGCCTGTGCAATTGTATTCTATGATTGTATGCTCTTAAATTAGGCTGTTTGCTTTCTAGAATGAAATAATAACTCACAATATAAACAATAATGCAGTATAAATCTCAAATCCTTTTAAGCTTAATGGGATGGCATTAAGAATGTCCTTATCGATTCACACATATTCTGACTAATCCTGCAGGCTGGGCTGGTACCAAGGAAAAGGCCTTCCACCAGGTTTCTGACTGTAATCAATCCCATTCTTAATAGAATTAGTTATATACAAAATAATCCTATTTTAAAAAATAGAGAAAATCTCAGAATCTCATCCATCCTCCTCACCCTATCATGCTATTGCTGCCTTTCAGAAAAGTATCTGATAGCATGTTAGCTTCTATTACTTTTAGGAGTTAAGAAATTTCAGAAGTTAGGTATTGTGATATTTTCTCCTCCACTAGGATCTAGATATAATCTAGGGTCATAATACTTAGTTTGTAAATTAAAAATTTCAAAACAATTTATTGACCATCAAGTGGTGCAGAGGTGGTATTCAGCAGGTTCTGACCAGTTCTAGAGAACCGGTAGTGGAAATTTTGAGTAGTTCAGAGAACCGACAAATACCACCTCTGACTGGAGATTTTACAGTATCCTTCCCCTGCCACGCCCACCAAGCCACGCCCACAGAACCTGTAGTAAAAAAAATTGAATCCCACCACTGAAGTGGTGCTATACTTGACTGAGAAGATTTTATTCCACAGAACTGAAAGCTAAGAGCAAACATTTTAAACTGTTGTAGTGCTCCGATAATCAGTTTAAAACAGCATTAAATGTGTTTAATGTTGTAATTTGAATGTTTCCCCAAAAGATAGATTTAGGGGGGAAAGATTATTAAAATGGTACTTTTAAAAGAAAACTGGTTGTTCAGATTGGTGGGCATATATGATTTCAGTCTTGGTCACTTGACACAAACATAGGCCCATTGCCCTTGCTTTTTTGAGTGTGTGAAAATCCCTCTGATTCTGTGAGGACTTTCCTTTCCTTTTAGAAACCGAATTAACTAGCATTGGAAGAACTGGGTAGAAACTGTGGTTTTTCTCTTAAAGAAGTTGTTTCATTTGATTCTGCTGATGCCTTAGGCTGGTCTCATTGAATGGTGTTCTCCTTTCAAGTTTGGTGGAAGAGGTGGGGGTGTGGAAACAGTTTATAATTGCTGCAGATGCAAATTACTCAGAGCTAGATGCCATTTTCAGACCTCTAATGGATTAAAAAATCTGTTTAAAAGCTGTTAAGCTTTTGTGAGTCTGTGAAATCTTTTCATAAATTAGCAATAAGCATTGGTGAAAATATATGCTTCAGAGATTCAGGGAACTGCCAGAAACATCTCTTATCTCTGCTTCTCTCGCTGTGTCCCCTACAGCCATTTCCATTACACTAATGCCAATTATACACTGTTCACTACTGGGCTGCCACAGGGTTGGTGCCTCCTTGCTGTTCAGTAATATGTTTTCTTCTAAACTTGATGGTTAGTTTTGAGAAGCAGTAAAGATAGAGGATGTTGTTTTTCAGCAAGTTGAGTGTTAGGTTAAATTAAATGGAATGAAGGGCATATCAAATGAAGTCCAATTTCATTCACCATTTCAATTAAGTTATTGGAATTTGTTTAAAATGTATTTTGATGGTAAATTCACTTTAACAAAATCAAGTAATTCAGTCAGTCAAATTTAACTTGGGAGGTTATATATGTAGCATTAGGTACACATTAGCTCTAGAAATTCTAGAGCCATGATGTCACAGTGATTAAAATGCAATATTGCAGGCTAACTCTGCCCACAGTCTGGAGTTTGATCCTGATGGACTCAAGGTTGAATCAGCCTTCCATACTTCCAAGGTTGGTATAATGAGGACCCAGATTGTTGGGAGTGATATACTGGCATTGTATCCTGCCCAAAGACTGCTGTAAAGGACTATGACCAGTTTATAAGGCTAAGTGTTATCGCTATTGTGAAAGATATTGCATGCGTTTAGGTAACTAAATTATGACATAGCAAGCTTGGGACTTCAGAACATAAGAAAATGAATTTCTTACGAAAGGCTATTTACTTCAAGATATGCATCTTACAATACCAAGCGTGTGCCCGAAGGCGCTTCTTGACTATTTAAATATCCTTTCAATTTTATATCTGTATGGGTCACTAAGATTGGTTTTTGAGTGAACATCTTTGGCTCATGGTGGAAGTCCCTACGAAACAAGCAGAGTAGAGTTCCACATTTATGAGACTAGGGTGAAAGTGAATGCTGACCCTTGAGTTGATTTATTTTGTCCAATATGTCAGCTGCCTGGATAACAAATCCAAAAGTACCAGCTACTAAGCTTACCTTGAGTACTCCACATTTACATTTCACAAGCCTGGTTATTGTAAAAAAATGTTTTCAATAAAAAAGAAAGGTTTGTCCACTAAGGCTATTCTCAAATGCTATAAAGGTGTCCTGCATTCCAGGGAAGGTAATACTGAGCCAATACAGGAATGTAGACGTTTGTCACACAGCCCTTTTTTCCCTTACAAGGCCAACTGTAGCTTGTTGTGAGACTGATTTAAAATAAGAAGAAGCTCAGAAAGGGGAGGAAATACATTGCTGACCCCTCTGATCCAAAATCCTGCTGATTCCAAGGTCCTGCATAATTATTTCAAAGTGAAAAAAATGCTGGGAGATTGTATCCCTAATCCTTCATATCGTATATTCTTTACCTCTCGTTCTATTGCATGTACTCAAAGATGGTGTCATGTCCAACTCTGTATTAGTCACTAAAATTAATTTTAGAAAAGAAAAGAATACTTTTCCAGATTAAATTGCAGCAACTTTAAGGTCGGAAAATAACCAAGAATATGGGGGGGGGGGGGGGGGGGGACATGCACCTTTGAATCTGACTTTATGAAAAAACCAATGACAGTCCTTCTGTCAAGTTTTTAGCTTTGAGGTGGATGGTAAAATCTTTCTGGTTAATGGGATTCAAGGAAAATCCATCTCCAAGGCAAGGAACTAGAGGCCAAAACAACTTTGGCTAGCCCTATCCTGATGCCACTTCATAACGGCTGGTGCCTGCCTTTTAAAAACAAGTATTCTTCAGAATTCAGTGCTGTCAATCTCTTGTACTGGATAGAGAGCTCTTACTATTGTGGGAGGTTTGAATGACTTCTCCATTGTGTTATAACTCTTTTTCAGTGTTGCCAACCAAAGTGTCTCTTGGTAAAAACACTTAGATAGATGTGATCAAGGCATCTGCTATTAAGAGAAGCAAAGAACAGCGAGATGTATTTTTCTGCCTTGAATGGATTTGTGAATAGCAGTTTGCCATAAGAGAAATTAAGACGTGCTTCTTAAACGTGATAATTCTGTCTTGCCACTTCCCATCATCAGTAGTGACAATTGCCTGAGCTTAATATTATCTGAAGTTAATATATTTAGACAAAGTGTGAATGGGGATTTATTTGCATATTGTATGCATAGACACTGTATTTGTTCATCATACTACTTCCTGTCAGAATAAGCAGAACTCAGGTATGAAAGTCTAAACCAAATAAATTAAAGATACAAAATAAAAGAAAAAAAACCACAGTAGTAGTTTATACTAACACTATTCATTATTCCTCCCCATGTCCCTGCTTCCATCATGTTAATACACTGACTCATACATGACCTTTTATTTTTAAACTTTTCTTTAAGAATCTCTTCAGTTCCATCCAACCACAACCTTTTCCACCTCTCCCTTCAACAGTCTCTGTCTCTTAATAAACGTCATCCTGCAGGGAATCTATTTCTATCCAGACCTAATTATCAAATGAAATAAATCTAGAAGATCATACAAGAAAACCAGGAGTTATTTTAGCAAATAAATTTCCAAAAAGGGGTGCTATTGCATACTTATAATTTACTATATATTCAAGACACATATTATTTTATAGGAATTGTACCTTACCAACTACATATATCATATTCGCCTTAGTGTAATTTTAAACATTGGTAATTTTATCTGCTAAATACATATGTATATAAGTGCAAATACACAAACATAATGTTACTATGAACAGATAAAGTCTTATCATTTTTTTTATTATGCATGTCTTTTATATGTTCATGTGCATATACATATAATTTTGCAGAACCTTTTCAGCTCTTGGTAGTCATGGGACTTAAGTCACGCATGTTGTCAAAATCTGAACAATAGCAATTCAGAGTAGTTATGGTCTTTTCCAGCTTCTTAGATTAGAACTTCTTCTGCCATCATAATCATTATAAACGTAGTTATGAATCAACAAAATCCAGTATGTGATTAGCCATTGAGTGATATAACTGCCGATGCATTTTCCCTCCATGTTTGTGTGAACTTTCCCATTGTAGAAGTTACAACTCCGCCAACAAAAATAAACAGAACTCCACCAACAAAAGGAAGACCTGATAGGATATTGCTTCTATTTTTAGAAAGACACAAAATAAATTGCAGAGACAGAGAAGGGGCGTATATCCCTAAGCGTTAATCTACAATGGTACACTTTCTTTTTTTTTAGAAGAGGATGTGGAGAACTTTGATGTAACAAACCTGTCTCAAGATGTGCATCGAAGCATCGAAGCTGACAGCTTTTGGTGTATGAGCAAACTGCTGGATGGGATCCAGGTAGGGCATTTATCTGCTATTCCCAGCCACTTCTGCTGCTTCATGGTCACCCAAGGATAATGTGTACACTTTCATAATTTTATCTGCTCTGGCCTCTACTGAAGGCAAAATACAAAAGCAAGTGCACCCCATGCTTAAAACAAGAATTATTCAGTTAACTAAATATTATGTCTCACAAACATTCAATTTGAATCATGGCAGTCTATTACTATTCGAATGGTTTTTTTTATAGTTCATTCTATATTTGTATAATTTATTCTGGATTTGTTAGTTCTAGAGAAAGAGAAGGAATCACATGGATACTGAAACAGCATTTTCTAGTCCTTGAAAATCTTAATAATGCTTTCCTCTGCTTAAATTCCTATAGTTATTACAAATGTGCATGCCATCTTCACAGCTCTAAGGGCTAGAAACCTAATATAAAACTAATACGAAATTCTCAGGAAACTTAACTGAATTCCTTGTTTAACATTATGCGGATTTTGACCATGAAGCTATATTCAAATCAATATAATGTAGCTCAATTTGATCAGTGACACTATCATATAGACCATAAAATGTTTGATGTACAAATAGAGGTTATTTATCAACATACATTTTTATATATGTGGATAAGCAAGTGGGCCACTGAGGGAATTTTATGCTTTTGACAGGAACATGCTAATCATAGTAGCAGTTTAAATTTATATTATTTCAGGGTATGCCACTTCAAAAACAGAATTTTTGAAAGTCTTGTATGGGATCTTTTTTTAATATTTTTTTTTTATTTTGAAGATATTATATACATAGGAAATAATTTCTGTAATTCATGGAGAACCAGGGTTTCCAGAATGTCTTATAACCAGATGAAATCAGCAGTTTGTCCTATTTGTTCATGCTGTGTTGAATAAACAAACTGGGAACATCAGGTTGTTATGTTACAGGCAGTTAAAGAGGGCAAGAAATGGTTAATACCCAATTCTCACCATCATTTTCTATTGCAAATGAATATTCCATAAGGAGCATATCCATCAGATATGTCCCAAATATCAGAAATTTATGATAAGGTCTACTGGATATATATATAGTTTCATATTTTATTTCTGGCATTTTTGGAATAATCTGTTTGAAAACCCTGGAAAGCATTTTCAATAACTAAAAAGGTATAAACCTGTTTGCTGGTCTTGCATCCTCTTAAACACACAATATATCTTTGCTTCAGGACAATTACACATTTGCACAACCAGGGATCCAAAAAAAAGTCAAAGCACTGGAGGAACTGGTCAGTCGTATTGATGGTAAGTGAATATGAGTTTGACATCTGCAACTGAATTGTAACACTCATGGATTCTCACTTGGGAGAAAAACATACGGTGTGGAACACAAACAGTTGACATGAGACCAAAGTCATAGGCTCTTTTTCTCAATTGTCTTAGGTGACAATCAGACTGGGATGTTAGAAATAGAATACTCTTGGGAAGAAGGGTGAATAAGAAGTCATAAGCTGATAGGCTTGTAAGAGAAAAAATTAGCAGAAAAAGGGCTAACATTTATAAAATGTAAGTAAGATGTATTTTTATGGGCAGCCCCCTCAAAATGACCACATTGATGATAGGTTTTAAATAATTGCCATGACCACAGCTCAGTTTATAAGACTGTAAGAACTCAAGCATTTGAACTTTCCAAAATTCTGATGGGAAGCTATTCCATAGTGTAGGTGCCAGCGACAAAAACCACAAGTTTCTCATATTCAAAAAAAAAAAAAAAATACAGTAGAATATATGTAGCTCATGGTTGATCTTGGTGGAGTCCTTGGTGCTCTCTGATCTTTGCTGTTTGTAGACATTTCATTACCCAACTAGGTAACATCACCAGTGCAAGTCAGTATGGGTTTGTTTGTTCCCTATTTACCTACAGTAGCTTGCCCTTCCAATGTTGTTAGTGGAAATATGTTTTTTTTCTTTGCTAGTTTCTTCATAGAAACGGGACTAAAAAACAGACATTTTTCACATTCCCCAAATCTCAAATGCAGGCTAAGCATCCTATCTGAGATGCAGGACCCAGATGGATAGCAGTAGGCAGCCCTGTGGGACATGATAGGTCAAAACCAGCATGTTGAGTTGTACTCAGAAGTAGAATAGCGACAGCAGGCAAAGATACTGTTTCATGGGGATGTGCTTTCTGCTAATGACAGCAAATATATCAAATATTTGCCATTTGCAAATAAAAGGTCCTGTTTCAGAGCAGGTACACAGTCACTTTAGGAAGTATGAAGTGGAGTACTTGCAGTTTGCCTTTCGCTGGATGAACAATCTCCTGATGAGGGAGCTTCCTCTTCGCTGCACCATTCGTCTTTGGGACACTTATCAGGTATGAGACTATCCCACTTCTTTGCGGGAAGCCTGTCTTGATTTAAAAAAACGGTGCCATGTGACTTGACTCAGACACCTTTTCCCAGCGATAATCCTACATGGAAGCAGGCAATAGTGTACTCAGATCACTTATTTATTTATTGGGTTTATTTAACCACCCAACTCACGTTTGTAACTCTGGACAGCTCAAATGATTAAATTAGCAAGAGCAAAAAACTGCCAAAACAATTACAACAAAACCACTGAAAATGATTAAAACAATTAAAGTACTGTAAAAAAACAAACAAAAAACCAAATGAAATCCAGACTCTTAAACACCATGCAACCATTTTGTAGGCTCCTTATTTCTGAATGGCAAAACCAACTTTTCAGGGCCTTCTGGGAGGCCAGTATAGTTGGGCCAGTCTTCTCCTTGGATTCTTGAGGGTAGGTCTTATGACGACAATGGAGCCTAAAATTTATGCTTGCTAAGTGAGACAGTTGTTAAGTGAACTTTGCCACATTTTATGACCTTTCTTGCCACAGTTGTTAAGTGAATCTGGCTTCTCCATTGACTTTGCATGTTAGGTAAAGGTAAAGGTTCCTCTCGCACATACGTGGTAGTCATTTCTGGCTCTAGGGGGAGATGCTCATCTCCGTTACAAAGCCAGAGAGCCAGCGCTGTCCGAAGACGTCTCCATGGTCATGTGGCTGGCATGACTAAACGCCAAAGGCACATGGAACACTGTTACCTTCCCACCAAAGTGGTCCCTATTTTTCTACATGCATTTTTACATGCTTCCGAACTGCTAGGGTGTCAGAAGCTGGGACGAGTAACGGGACCTTACTCTGTTACGCAGCACTAGGGATTCAAACCGCCAAACTGCTGGCCTTTCTGATCAACAAGCTCACTGTCTTAACCACTGAGCCACCATTGCAAAAGGGGACCACATGACCCCGGAACATTGCAACCATCATAAATATGAACCAGTTGCCAAGCATCCAAACATAAATCATGTGATCCTGGGGATCCAGACAGAGTCATAAGGGTGAAACATGGTTGTAAGTTATTTTTTTTCAGTTGTAACTTCAATACTCACTACATGAACTGTTGTAAGTCAAGGACTACCTGTATAACATCATCACAAAATAGAGCTCTGCCTCTCTCCTTGCACATCACTTACATGTATATCCACTATCAAATGTAGAAAAGCAGTGATAAATAAGGCATGCTGATAACAGTGGTTCTAACCCCAAGTGATGTGTTCTTTTCAGTCGGAGCCTGAAGGATTCTCTCATTTCCATTTATACGTCTGTGCTGCATTCTTGATTAAATGGCGGAAAGAGATTTTGGATGAAGAGGACTTCCAGGTAAATCATCAGCAGGCAACCACATTTAGAAAAGGATGCAGTGTAATTATCCTGCTTGAAAACGTATTGATTTTAGAGAAGAGAAGAGAACAGAATGAATATGTACAGCAATGTTTCTGGTCTGTGATTATAGGCATGAAATCACTTTGCCCAGAGATGCAGACATTTTTTCTAAGTGCTTTAGTAAAATAATTTCCACAGCTGTAACAGCTGACTTTGCTACATAGTCTGTAAGTAAAGCAGGAAGTGAAGATTTCGTGTTTCAGGTTTTGACCCCAATCCTGAGATGGTGTTTTTCCCCCTCACTGGTTATCAGGCTCAATACTGCCTGAATGACTATAGTTCATATTGAATCGGATGTAGGTTTTGAGATTATTTTGGTCCAGGCTCCCTGCTTGGTTTTGTGTTTTGTCTGTTTTTTATGGATGCTTTGATTTGGTGCGTGTCCCAGAGTCCATTGGAGTTGGGCCACGATAATAAATTTGAATAAATAAAATCACGAAAGAGAAAGATAATGCCCCCAAGAACGTAAAAGCGCTTTTGCACATTGAAAGCCAAGGCCATACCTCTGAGCTGTCTCTTTTCCACATTTCAGGGTCTTCTAATGTTATTACAAAATCTACCCACCATACACTGGGGCAATGAAGAGATTGGACTCCTCCTTGCTGAAGCCTACAGACTAAAGTACATGTTTGCAGATGCTCCCAATCACTATCGTCGATAGGTAGTAGAGTTTCTGCCTTTGCTTCTCATTGTGCTGGCACAGTTTCGATCACTGTGGCATTCGATCACCTAAGCCCTCGGACACACTGACCAGGAGCCCAATCTTTGCTGTAAAAAAAAGCTCCCATCAGACTTCTGCCTTCACTTTTGTGTGTGCCTGCCTGCCACTCCATGTGTGGACGTGCCACTCCAGAAACGATTAGTGTCCTGCTGTGATGGTGGCCTGAGCTTGGATGGAAGTGAAATGAATAAACAGAACTTCTGAATGCCCTCCAAGTTTCAGCCTAGATAGTCTTACGTCTTGCAGCCTCTTGTTAACCTGCTAAGCACAGACAAACTCATGCAATTCCTCTTTGGCCTGTTTCTTTTTTTCTTGTTTCCCTCTGTTTCTTCTTCGGCGGTTGTTTAAACTCCCCAATGAAGATGCCTTACAAAGAGTCCTGCCCAAGAGAAGGCAGTGCTGTTGAACACAAGACACTCTCAGGCCTTAGCTTCACTCTGCATGTCTGAAGAAATGAGGCATTTCAGGCATTAACAAAAGACATATATACTTCCATGTGCATGCTGCCACATTCCTCTTGTGCAGCATCTCTGTGGGATGGCGCGCACACATTGAAAAGGCTGTTTAGTTCATGCACAATTCAGAAAATGCAAGTGAATAAAACAGAGCTCCACTTGTGGTTGTTGGACTGCCTAACTTGGTATGTGCACTGAACGTTTGGGGGGGTGGGGAGCTGTGCTTTCCCCCCCTTCTTTTTTTAGGAAAAAAAATCCTTTCTGTGACAATGACACTCCTGTAAGGCATTATATGTAAATTGTGTTCTTGTGTATATGGGTAAAGGTTGTACAATATAAGTCTTCTGTTTGTAGCAGATATGATTTTATATTTATAGTCTGCCTCTGGCATACAAACGCTGCCTAGGTTACAAATAGCAATGGGCCTCCTGCTTCCTCTGTCCATCAGGTTTTGAAGCTGTCAACACATCTGCACTAGCACATTTATTCTTCCCCAGAATGCACATTTCGTTTTTATCAGAAAACAAAAATTGACTCCAAAGCAGAGTGATATTGCATGACCTCCAGTGCCAAGGAATTTGAGGTTCTGAAGATTTTAAAAACTTGCTGCTGAACCATGAATTTCATGGAATTTTTTTCTGCAGGATGCTTGCACTTCCCGAACAGCACTTGAGCTTGCCCCTGTGGAAAGTTCTCCTCCAGCTGTGGCAAAGCACATTGCTATGGCCATGTCTTTGACAAGTTTTGTGTCCTATCCTGTGTCTTCTGGATGTTTATAAAGCTCAGCTATATCCACCCTTTCTCCAGGCAGAGACCTCTTCAAAGCTTCAAGGCTCCAGCCTCTTCTGGGGAGACAGCAGCTTTAATACCAAGCCCACTTTTTCTCCTCTCCATTATTGCAGTGTGGTTTCCAGTGAAAAAAAGGAATTATACATTTTAATTGACTGGTTAATGCAGGCAGCAGTACAATCTCATTAGTGCCAAGCTTTGACCTCTCAGATCACAGTTGTTTCCATAAGCCGAATTCTTCAGATTGTGCCGGGATGACTTCGGCTTGTCTCATCAAACTTCCAACTGCATCCACCTCATTTTGTTTTTCTTCTTGGAGTTGAAAAAGGAAAAGCAATCTCCTGGGTTTTTTGTTTTTGTTCAGTGTTGTGGGGGGAATATTTTGAGGCAGAAGGACACAAGACCCTGGCCATAATTCTGACACCAAGCAGTGTTTCTCAAGTTGCTTTCCAAACCGGGAATTGTATTTTTCAGGCATTGACTGGATTTTCCTTTGTAAGTGTGTATGTGTGAATTTGTGGTTTCCATTCAGACAACAACCTGGTGGTCATTAGTTTAATATGACTGATTAAAAAATAATCCTACTTGTGTCGCCAGTCTTTTCTTCTTAGGATTTCATGAGGTTATTAATGAAGCTACCAGAATGTGGAGGATCTTCCTCTCTTTATCCAATCTGAGTGGATTCTTATTTTTAGTGATTTTTTTTCTTTAAAAATCTTCACTCTAAGCTTTCTCCTGTTTGTGATGAAAATTCTTCCATATAAACTATAGAATATTGCACGTTAGACGCACAACACACAGACTGCATATGAATTTAAAAAGTCTCTTTAGAGCACCCAACTAGGCAGAAGCCAAAATATTTGTGCTTCTCAGTATTCCTTGACATCTGCAACTTTTAAAATTCATGTTAGACCAATTTCTATCAGGAAAAGTCTCTTCAAGCCTTTCTTTAATCATTTTGCTTCATATAAATGTTCCTTGTCTGATGACTAGCTAAAGGCAGAGGAGGGAAAATGCAAAGTGCCTTGTTATTTTCAGAACCTTGCCAGAATTATTTGAACACTAACACCATTTTTAGGAATCAAAAAATCTGATTTCTCTGCCTGCCAATTTCATAATTTAGCAAAAATCAGGAATATTTATGAGTAGATCTCTGGGTGCATTCTACTACTTTAGCAATACCAAATATACTGTCTACATCAGCGGTTGCCAACCTTTTGGACCTCAGGGACCACCAAACTCATAATTTTAGATCCCAGGGACCACTAACCGGTTCTGTGGGTGTGGCCTAATTTGTGGGTGTGGCTTGGTGGTAATGTGACTGGCTGGGCCTAGTTTGTATGTAAATATAAATATTTATATAAATATTGAATTTTTTATAAAAAAGAGCAACTTTTATCCAAAATCAGGCAAAGCAGGCAGGCAGATTGAGTTGCTCACAGAATCACATTCATTCAGAAATCTATCTGACATTGGCTAGTTCAGTCTGTCACATAAAATTTGCTTGCAAGCAAACTCACAAAATTAACTCACAACACACCATGCATGTAAATATTGAATTTTTTATTTTTAAAAAAGAGCTACTTTTACCCAAAATCAGGCAAAACAGGTAGGCAGATTGAGTTGCTTACAGAATCATTCAGTGATCTATCTATCTGCCATCAGCTAGCTCAGTCTCTCAAATTTGCTTGCCGTGAGTCTGCACTGAATTTGCTTGCAAGCAAACCTTCAGTCCTAAAGGTGGTTTGGCAGAGCCGAAGATCTAAACTTTCTAAAGACTAGCTAGAAAGCAAGAAATCCAACCATTTCCTGCTTCCTAGCTAATCTAAATCTCCCGGCACAGCAGAACAGATGATGGTTGGAAAAAGAAAAAATAGAAATTTAGCAGGCAAGTTTACGGGTTAAGGAGTGAGTGGGCAGGAAGGGTTTCCACGGGCCATGTGGGTGGCACAGCCGTGTGTTTCTGCACAGCCTGGATTAATTGCTTTGGGGGGGGTGCTCTGGGGGTGAGATTTCTCTGCGGCCCACCAAAATTTTCTCATGGCCCACCAGTGGGCCACGGCCGACCGGTTGGCAACCGCTGATCCACATTAGACTATTAAGATCACTGATCAGTAGTAACTTTTTGTATATAAGAAGATTTGCTTCCATGAAAGCAGGTGAGTCTGACAATGTCTTGTGAATCAGCAGGTAGTTTCCCAGAATTATCTTTTTTACCTTTGGCTTTAAATTGGTGAATGTCTGAATTCTGTTAAGATCTAAATGTAACTAAGAAAATATCTCTTGCCTGAAATTTAGCCACCTCCTCCTCTCTCCAATGGGATTACTAAGTGAAAGAAAACTTTAGCTTTCAAAGGCAGCAACTTCTTGTCAGCCTACACAGTCTTATCAAAAATCCTTCCTGATTCTGAGCTTCTGTAATATGCAACAGCATAAACTGGCTTGAGAAAGTTATGCTAAACATTTCCACTGAAAGCAGATCTACACTGCTGGTACATTGCTACAGCATCTTTCTATAGATCTCGAAAGAACCTTAGAATGAAGGATCATTCCTTTCTCAGGTTGCCCATTAATGGAGCTGTTACTCCTGCAATGTTTCATTAGATTGTGGATTTTGTTGCTCAGGCTTGCTGGTCTCAGCTACAAATGGTCAAAGATGGTAGGAAGAGTGTGCATTCAACATTGTTTTGACATACTGGAGTTACTATGCTGTGGTAAGTCTTACTGTTCTTCCCCACTGCCCATTAACCAGAGAAGTTTTTATGTACTGTACATATAGACATACAATAGTTATAATTAAAATATAAATGTATTTTAATCTAGAGCAAAGTGCTCATAACTATGATGGGGTATGATTCTATTTTTTCTGTTTTTCATGCAGTCAGGACTGGGCACAGTGGGTCACTCAAATTTTCTCTCCCCCACCCTAAGTTAATTACTATTAAAATAAAAAGTTCATTGGAGTGGAACAAACATAATTACTTTTTGGGGAGCCTAATTATCTGCATTTATTGCCAGTGCTTTGTTGTAATTGATTGCTAATGGTCTGCTTCACTATGGAATGATCTAATTAATACCTCTACCAGGAAAAAAAACCAGATTCTATTTGAACATGCAAGTGTCCTGTGGTATTGATTGCAGTTGTCTTCATCTGGGTGCCTCAGCTGTATTCTCTTTGTTTTACCTGAATGCTTTCTTGAAGTAGTCTACATTCCTAGTTTTGGTTGCCTTGCCATATTAATGTCAGTAGACCAGCCGGATGCCCTCTAGATACCATCTTTTTGTAGGCCACCCACTTAGAAAAGCTGTGTTATGCTCTGTTTCTGCAGTACAACTTTTTTTGTTGCTGAAAGCAAATCCATGGCTATGATGCTGCAGGCTTTATGTCTTGTTCACAAGTGTATGTATCTAACCCGATTTCACACTTCACTACTCAATGTGTTGCTTAAATATATGAGCTGATGTCCTTGCTTTTGAACAAGGTTAGGAATGCTTAGTTTCTGGGGCCTAATTCATGACGGGTCATTTATTTTTGCAGGTCTTCAGATGGCTCTGTGGTCATCAGATGTTAATGATTCACATGGTTACAAGGTGCAACAGCCATTAATACACCTGTTACTTTTTGATTGGTCTTAAACCAGTTAGTTTATAGCATATGTTGGTGCTTTTTGTGCACTTTATCTTGCTGTAGATAAATGTACTCTTTTGGAAAATAATTGTAATAAAATGCCACACACAAGAAACACCTTTTTTAAAAAAAAAATACCCTCTTAATTTTGAAAGGCTGCTTGTCCAATCATGAACAACAGTTAGAACTAATAAAAGCTGTATTGAATAAAATAATAAAAGCTTGAGAAAGAAAATCATGCCAATCACACACACAGGCTGTCTGTAGTAAAATTTGAGAAAAGCTGTTGTTTACATATATGTCTACATCGCCATTACCCTATTTTCTTTCTGGCTAAGCAATGTTATACAATCCAGACAAGGTACAAGAAATATGCAAATGAAATTCAAAGCATGCCATTAGCGAAAAGAAAGGGAATCAGAAAAATTGAATATAAAATTTGAAAGGTACCTTAGGAATTATCTAACCAAACTGCCATGTAGCAAAATAGGCAGCATTCACTTTTACATACGGCTATTTTCACTTATTTCAGCAAAAATTCATTAGTCAAATGACCACGTATATCCTCAGAGTTCTTTTTTCATTTGCAATGAACTTTCTACCAAGGGAGATAACAAATTTATCTGCTTGCTTTAGCTTTTCACCATTTATATGTAATTTGGAACTGTTCGGGTTTCTTGGCAAACCCAATCACCTTAGTGTATTAAATTTTGAGATCCATACTCCTTGTTGTATCAGCTCGACTATCTAAAATAGACTAGCTGATGCAATTCAGGAATAGAGCACATATCCAGCTCTCAATCCTTGCTTTCTGGAATATCTAAGGGCTTGATATTTTCCCCCACCCCAACAAATACATGAGGACAGTGATTGAGGTTATCTGCCATCCGAGGGCTAAGGTATCATCACTACACTATTAGTACTCATTTACGGATTCAGTGGCACTGACTTATTAGCTCCATCTGAGGTACTGGTCACAAAAAGATAGTAGGTGGGGATCTATACAACACCTTCGGATTTTTTGTTATTTTTGAATAAGTCATCTGAAAATCAAGCTAGATTATGAGACATATTTCCAGATTTCAACCTTTTCCTCTACTTTTAGCAATAGCACTAGCAGTAGCAGTAGTACTTGGACTTATATACTGCTTCATAGTCCTTTACAGCCCTTTCTAAGAGGTTTACAAGTCAGCATATTGCCCCGAACAATTTGGCTCCTCATTTTACTCATGAGCCATGGTGCTCAGAGGTTAGACTGTACTACTGCAGGCTAATTATGCTGACAGCCAGCAGTATGGCAGTTTGAGTCTCATTGACTCAAGGTTGACTCAGCCTTCCATCCTTCTGAGGTTGGTAAAATAAGGATTCAGATTGTTGGGGGCAATATGCTGACTCTGTAAAACTGCTTAGAGAGGGCTGTAAAGTACTGTGAATCGGTATATAAGTCTAAGTGCTATTACTATTGCTACTGACCTCTGAAGGCTGGAAGGTTGAGTCAACCTTGAGTCAGTCAGAATTGAACTCCTGGCAGTGAGCAGAGTTAGCCTGAAGTACTGCATTCTAACCACTGCGCAACCATACAGTGGTAAATTAGTATTTACCACAATGACAGCTAGATGTTTTGCCTAGATAGTCATTACTGAGCCCTCTTCCCAATTCCTCTACTTCCCTACCCATGCTGGAATAACAAGTGCCAATGCTTTTCCTTTGGTAGGCATCTTCTTTGAGGATTGATAGGGGGGAAAAACAGTTTTACAGTTTTTCCATATACTTGGCGAGAAGGAGAAACTTGGCAGAATTTATGTCAATTTCACCTATTAAAAAAATGCAAATAGCTGTCACAGGAAGGGGGGTTGCTCCCAGAGCACTTACCAGCCAATTGGAACAGAGGCATTTGTGTAGAATACAGTAAAGTGCAACAGATAATACTGAACTGCTGTACTTCCAC